CTCTCCCTCATGATACAAACATACATGAAATATTGAAATATCCTAGCACAATACCTGGATGGGTTCTTACTAACCTCTCCCTCATATACAAACATACATGCTGCTAACTACATTTCCTACTTCTATTTTCCTCTGTGGTCAGGTTTCATTCCGGTCATTATTGAAAATGTTTTGAATGAAGATGAATTGACAACAGACTTGGCTGCACTGGAAAGAAAAATAAAGGAGTTAGGATGTGAGGCCATAGCTTGTGTCATGACGACAACCAGCTGCTTTGCACCTAGAGTACCAGACAGGTAATGAATTATATATTTTTATTTTTAAAATGACTTACCATAACAGTACTGCATTTATTAACCAGAGATGGTGCATTAATTCTTCAATTCTGGACCCATATTGTACCAAAGAAGACTGTGTATTCCAAAGATTGTCAAATAAACACCTAAAGGATAATATTTTTCCATTTCAGAGCATGTGTTATTCTATTGAGAATAATGAAGAAATAGAAAACGTGCGCGCATACTGTGTGCAGTAATAAAGCACGCGGGGTTGGCAGATCAACACAAGAGAAGTGTTAGAAGAAGCACGATGAGTAGCGGAGTGCTTCTCGACACTTCTCGAGTGTTCTGACAATCCCCAAGTGCTTTATAATTACACACAGCACAGCAAGCAAGTTTTTTATTTCTTTTATAAAATACAAATTAGTGCACAGGCATGCTGTGTGCCCTCATAAAGCATGCAATTCCAACCAATCAGAACGCGAGATTCATAACCATTATTTTATAATAACTTTATAATCTTTATTTGAGCTACATATCCATATTTATTACCAATAATGACAGTGGTCAGAAATGGGGAAAAAGTAAATTGGGATCCAAAACATTGTTTTGGACACAAAATTTTTGAAGCCTTTTTTTAAGCAAGAGTGATTCTTGGCTATGAATTATCATTATATCATGAAAATTGATATTTTAAAGGCTAGAAGAGGTAGCCAAGCTGTGCAAAGAGCAAGATATTCCACATGTCGTCAACAATGCTTATGGTATACAATCCTCAAAATGTATGCATCTTATCCAACAGGTATGATTATGATAGTCAGTTGAGCCTATTGTTCTCTGTACCTGTGGATATATCATCATAATGCATATTATGGATAGCATGGGTGGTTTATGCTGTTAAGCTTTGGTATGCGAGTGGTTTGTTTGATGTGTTTGATGTGTTTTCAGTTCTTTCCTATGCAACAAGGGTTTTTGGCTGGGTCCGTCAAGGTTTCCTCCCTCCGTAAAAATCAACAATTCCAAATTCTAATTCAATCTCAGAATCAATTGAGGGCCATATGTTAGATAACCTTGTGGTTAACATATCTTATTATTATAATGCGCTTGGCATAAATATTTAATAAATATTTTTTGGCAATTTTTTTTATCTTGGTACTACTGGTAATGATGTTGGGACCTGGGAATGCTAATGGGAAGCACAGGTGGCGTAGTGGTGTGAGCGCTCGCCTCTCACCAATGCAACCCGGGTTCGAGTCCCGCTGAGCTCGGTGTCATATGTGAGTAGAGTTGTTTGCTGGTTCTCTCCTGTGCTTCAAGGGTTTTCTGGGTTCCCCGGCTTTCCTCCCTCTGCAAAAATCRACTCCTAAATTCCAATTGGAATGACAGTGGATGAATAGGTACTCTGTAGAAATGCCACTGCTAGATCCCATTTATTTATTTTATTTATTTTTATTATTTATTAATGACTCATTGATCTGTTTTCCTTATTTCATTTCCAGGCATCACGTATTGGTCGTGTAGATGCATTTGTGCAAAGTACAGATAAAAACTTCATGGTTCCTGTAGGAGGAGCTGTCATTGCTGGTTTTGATAAAAGTTTCATCGACAAAGTTTGTGAGAATTATCCAGGTGAGAGATGAGTTGTTGGGCTAGTGATGTGAAGCAATTAATATCCACATATATGCAGTACTTAAGTCACCAGTTATCATCAGCCAAATTAGTTTAAGCCTGGCCATACCTCATTTTTGGCTCAACATTGCTTGTCAAAATGCAAGTTCCAATTCATTCTGTCCAAACGTGGCCCGATACTGAGTGTTATTTTAAGTTTGTATAAAGTTCTATTTGCTAAGTGGCAAAGTGCATGGGAAAGAAAAGATAGAGGAAAGTTTAAAAACATGAAAACTACAAGAATTATTCTTGACATTGTGCTTTTATTTGTCATACTTGACTATAGTCAAAATAAACAAGCGTGTTGTGTCAGTTAATCTTGCTTTTAATCTGTTGCCCCCTCTAGGTCGTGCATCAGCCACACCCTCTATCGACATGTTCATAACACTATTATCTCTTGGAGCAGATGGATATGAAAAGTTATTAAAGGAAAGAAAGGTACTTACTAATCATTCCTAAAATAAAGATTTTTCTGTCCTAAAATCATATTCTCCTAATCTTAAAGATTTTTGGGGGGTTTCAGGCGAGGGATTAGTTATGAGAAGTAAAACTGTGATTCGTTTGTTCATTTGTTTATTTCCTTTTTTCCAGGAAGTATTTTCCTACCTATCTGAAGGATTATCAAAAGTGGCTGGTCAACATAGTGAAAGATTATTGAAAACTAAACATAATCCAATCTCGTTAGGTATGTCCACATTATTATCATCTTCATCAATGATCATCATTACCATCATCTTCATCATCATTACCATTATCCTCACACCACTGCCACCATTGTCATATCACCACTATCATCATCATCATCAGCATCTCTCTTATCCATCATTATCATCATCATCATCAGTATCATCATCAGCATCATCATCAGTATCTCTCTCATCCATCATTATCATCATCATCGTCAGTATCATCATCAGTATCATCATCAGCATCTCTCTCATCCATCATTATCATCATCATCAATGTCAGCATCAGCATCTCTCTCATTATCATCAGTCATCATTATCATAATTATCACCATCATCAATATCATCATGATCATCATAATTACCATCAGTTATCATCTTCACTTCAATCACCATACTAATCTTTATCACTTCATGCTATTACTTACAATTAATAGCCTATTAATAGTTATCCATGATATTTATAGCAATATCCCTGAGTCATACTAGTACATACAGCAGTATAGTTGAAGATTCACGTGGCACTACACAACTTGGTTCCATGCTATTCACAAGATGTGTTTCAGGAGCAAGGTACATATTGTGATATTTCATATATATTATTATTATTACATTCTTATTGACGTAGCAAAGCCTGGTGGACTTACTCATGAAATTGGGTGTTGTCCACAGGGTCGTTGCTCCTGGAACAACCAAAGTTATCAATGGTTATGAGTTTCCTAACTGGGGTTCACATTCCAATGAGTACCCCTGTGCTTACATGACGGCTGCTGGTGCTATTGGGATGACCAAGGATGATGTGGACACATTCCTTAAACGACTTGATAAGTGTTTGCAGAAATGCAATGCTAGGACTGGGAACCCTGTGGTAGATCCTGAGTTGCAGGAGAAAGAGGATCCTAACAAAACCAAACCTGTGCAAGAAACTGTTGTTAACAGATGATATTATATATCAACTTAGAATAATCCATAACAACTCAACTTAAATCGACAATTGTTTAAATAAAGAACTAGGATGATTAAAAAAACTCTGAGTGCAATCGCACCTTTGCTTTTGCAGCTCCTAAACTATGGAAGGTATTACCATCAGCACTTTGTAAAGTGTACAGTCTCAGATGAATAAACTGTTAAWCCTAATAATTTAAAAGTAGTAATATGTGTAGACGTATACAAAAAAAAAAGATCTTAAATATTGAACTATTAAGTGTGTATAGTATAATGTAAAGACATGACCCTACCTAGGTAACAGAAGTGTGCACAGCTGGCTTCGTGTATCATGAGTCTTGATTTGTCTGTGAGCCCATGTGATTAAAATGTCATCATGAGTAGCTTTGCCTGTTGTTTGAGGCTTTCTTCACCACAATGGTATGTTCATTTGCTTCGCAAAAAACAACACCCATGTTTCAAAAATTGTCATAAAAACATCTGCTTAAACTTAAATAACTCGGGATATGCAATCTACGAGTTAAAATAGTTTAATTAAATTTATCAGAGACCTGTTATAACATGTTATATCAGGCGGGTTTTAATTAGAGACGATTGGAAAGTGTGAACAAATGTTTACTTTCTGAAACTGACTTGTCGTCATGCAACCGATGTATCAACTTTAAACATTTCTACATAATAATAAATTTAAAAAAGATAAGAAATAAGATAAAAATGAAAAGTGGCACCAAGTGATAACATTCTACAATCATGGATTTTTTCGAAGTTTTCACTGGTTCCTAGTGTTATGAGAGAGAAAATGATTATTTTTACAGACTTATTAAGCTAGACATCAGTTTTCTAATTACCATTGCAGTATCGTATGAAAATAAGATAACCATCRATTTATAGCTATATAAAAATATCGATATAAGTATAGTTAATGGAGTGGAATGGTTAGGAAACCTATTCTATGTTTTCGTTCGTCTTTATCCATTGTTATATGACGAACAGTGAAGGAAAAGTTTCTCCATTTGTCCACAGTATTAGGGAATAGAAAAGTTTTTTAAATAAATAAAATGAAAATAAGTTTTCTAATTACCATTGCAGTATCGTATGAAAATAAGATAACCATCAATTTATAGCTATATAAAAATATCGATATAAGTATAGTTAATGGAGCGGAATGGTTAGGAAACCTATTCTATGTTTTTGTTCGTCTTTATCCATTGTCATATGACGAACAGTGAAGGAAAAGTTTCTCCATTTGTCCACAGTATTAGGGAATAGAAAAGTTTTTTACCCTTAAAAGTCGTTCTAAAATATGTATTATTTGTTAATTAATCCTATATGATTAATATTATTATTTATTGAAAATGAAATTGCCCTTTTTAATGCTTTCTAAGGCCCCGTCCACACCATGCCGGATAAATTTGAATCCGAATTGTTATTTACTCGGTTAGGCCTACCGTCCACACTAGTCCGGGCGAATCCGGAACAATTCTTCACCGAAAACTATTTTTTTCGAATACGGTCTCCAGAGTGGAACAATTTGAAGTCGCCGGCTATTAGTGTGGACGAAGAACATTTCGTATCCGAAATTTTTCGACTACGATGACGTCATGATTGTCATGGGAACATGGCGGGAAGGCTAAGAATTCACCGCAGGCTCGATTCCAGGTTCGATGCACATGCTCAGATGTGCAATGAAGCGTTTTTGCCGCCTCTGATCGTCGGACTAGTGTGGACGCGAAACATTTTATCCGTTTTCATGTGTGGACGGAAAAATTTTTTTTAGTTTCGGTGTGAAAGTTGCGGATCCAAATTCATCCGGCATAGTGTGGACGGGGCCTTATTTATCATCTAGTAAGTTAACTGTATCTGCGCGGAAACATTTATTCGCATGGTTTTTGTATATGGAATAAAAGTTTTTACTTTCAAAGTATTCATACATGAAAATAATAAGGAAATGAGCATTTTCAGCCATACTTGCTTTGGTTCATTGTGCACTGTCAGTAACACGTGATGGTACGATTCAACATCAAAGGCAAAACAATAGCTTTGTTCTATGGAGTTTCCAAACCATTCCACTCCATTAACTATGATATTAGATTTCAGTAAGGCTACCATCACGCACAAGTTTAGATAATGGTATGCATTGAATTCACAAGTAAACACCTTAGCTCCTCCCATTACCTCTGGTTACGCCCTACACACTTTTTACCCCTTTGCTCAGTTATTTTAGCACTATTCTTTTAAATCTTATGATAGGAATATTCGTCATAGCCTTTTCTATACATTTACAATATATTCATATATTAACTTTAGTTTAAACTATGTTTAATTCCAAGATTTTCACTCGTATTACTCCGGTTATTAAGATATCACGCTCAAGAATTTACTTATTCCTCTAGCCAATCATGATTCAACGATATTATTATTTTGATTAGAGACTGACACATGTCATAAAACTATCATAAATAATGCTCATGTAATTAGTTCGATACACAGAGAAAATAGAGTAGAATAAAGATCCCGGAGCTCGTACCGAGAGCCCTCGTCCCATAACACTAGTTCTTTTCCTTGCATTGTTTGCGGGAAAACACGGTTTGTTTACTCGCAGGCCTTTCATTTGTCAGTYGTGTCACGCTTGTGTTCGTTCATGCTGGCGTCAGACCCCTCAAATAAAACTAACCAATCAGATTATCACGCTCCTACTGAATCGGTGCTCTAATACATGATGGGCTGGCTTAAAATATTGAACAAATATTATAAACTAGACAGCGAAGATTGAAGCCATGATTCTTTTCTTTCTTGTCTGTCTTTTCGTGCTTGCTTCAGGCGAACCAGAAAGAGATGCCTTTCTCTATGGAAAGTTCCCCAAAGATTTTTTATTTGGAGCTTCGACAGCTGCTTTCCAGATCGAAGGAGGATGGAACGCTGATGGGAAAGGACTGAGTATTTACGATGTGTTGACTCATCAAAGGCCTTTCCTCTTTAAAAACCAGAATGCTGATGTTGCTGCTGATAGCTACCACAAGTACAAGGAAGACGTGAAAATCCTCAAGGACTATGGAGCTAAAGCATACCGTTTTTCTATCTCGTGGAGCCGAGTGCTTCCTAATGGAACTGCTGACAAGATAAACCAACCAGGAATTGACTACTACAACAAGCTTCTCGATGAGCTAAAAGCGAACAACATCGAGCCTCTCGTTACTCTCTACCACTGGGATCTTCCTTTCGAGTTTTATGACATCGGTGGCTGGCTGAACGAGTCCATGGTGGGATATTTCAACGACTATGCCAAAGTGTGTTTCAAGTACTTTGGTTCAAAGGTAAAAAAGTGGATAACCATTAATGAGCCATTGGTGATAATGGAACGACATCCATTCTACATGAAAGGCGTTATAAACAATAAAACTGAGCAGTCCATCCTGCAGTACCGAACCATGCATAACCTGATCCTCGCGCACGCCACGGCATACAGGACGTATGCTAAAGAGTTCAAGCCGAGTCAAGATGGAGAGATTTCACTTGCACTAAGCAGTGCCTGGGGAGAGCCTAAAACAAGCAGTAAACCAGATACTGATGCAGCAGAAAGATACATGCAGTTTAACCTTGGTATATTTGCTCACCCGATTTATGTAGACGGCGATTATCCTACAGTTGTGAAGGAATATGTAGCCAAGAAAAGCGCCGCTGGTGGAATACCAAATCGCTTCCCAAGCTTCACTGCCGAGCAGAAAGAAATGGTTAAAGGAAGTGCAGATTTCTTTGGTGTAAATCACTACGACTCATTGCTAATCGAATACCTTGATTTCAATGCTAGAAATGCGACACCCCAAGAGTTCCGCAAGGATGGGAACTTCAACACCAGCACCAATAGCTCATGGGAAGTCACGGGGGTGTACGATTTCAAGGTAGTCCCCTGGGGAATGCGCCGGCTTCTTGCTTTTATCAAGAGGAACTACAAGAACCCAGCGGTCTATGTCACCGAAAATGGCTGCATGGTTCCTGGAGAGTACACCATGACACTAGAAGAACGCCTTAACGATGATTTCAGGATAAGCTTCTATCGACGGTACATCAACGAAGCTCTGAAGGCTCATCTCAAGGATGGGGTCAATTTGAAAGGATACATGGCTTGGACGCTGATGGATAACTTCGAGTGGGCGGAAGGTTACCATGCAACGTTTGGACTTCACTCTATTAATTACTCAGAACCGGAACGCACTCGTGTGCCCAAGAAGTCGGTGTCGTTCTTCAAGACTCTGATTGAGGATAATGGTTTTGTATCTGCGTCAGGTGGCATGGCAGTCAGGTCTACTGGGCTCGGCTTTGCTGCTGGATGTTTGCTCACAGTTCTCACATTGAAATATGTAGCTTAGAAGGGACACTTTCACATCAAACTTAGCCATGAACATTGAAAAGCTGAATAAGATTCTAGTAGAATTTTTATAGTGTTTGTTAAGTTTTATAATTTATAGTTTTTTTAAGTACATGAAATCTAGGCACTAGACAGCCTATAAAAGATGCAATTTTGGTCAAGATCCTAGTAGAGTTTTTGTAGTGTGTGTTCAGTTACATAATTTATAATTTTGTTTAAGTACATGCAATCTAGGCACTATGTCATAAAAATAAAGGTTTCAGAAACCAAATGATTGATTAGATGAATAAAGAAATCAATGTGAATAAATGTCTGTGCTCTTGAACATCCAGTTTTTTGTGTCGTGGAAAAATGAGAAATACTATCCTTTCTATACTATGGAACTTTGTTCTGAAGGTAACAATTAATAGCCTGCAATAGATAGTGTGTTCCTCGTTCGATGATCGAATTGGAATTTAGAAGAGTTGACTGGTATTTGCAGAGGGAGGAATACAGAAGACGTGACAAGGGTCTGTCATGCAACTTTTTCCTCCCAACGTTCGTGGGGAGGTAAACGTTGCGTGACAGATCCTAAGAAACTATCCGTGATTGTAGGCAATTTCCATTGCGTTTGAGATGTCTTTAGCAAACACTGCCATATGATTTATCATAAATCAAACGTTAAAATACAAATGAGCCCTTCCACAATACTTTCAGTACTGATTCTACATGAAGTAAATAGTTGAATGGTAAAATATTTATTGATTTGAGTGATGCGTTTCTAAGTTGTGAAGGTTTATACTTCCAATATGCTAATAAGTGTGACGTCTATTAAGGCTTAATTAAATATACAAAATCGAACTGGTTCATAGCAGTATCTAAAAAGCATCATTATTTTACTCATGGTTTACATGAAAGCTATTTTAGATTTGTATTTTCAAAATGGCCAGCATTTAGTATTACTAGTTACAACAAAAACACTCAAATACCTTATACCTGACGTCACACTTATTAGCATATTGGAAGTATAAACCTTCATAACTTAGAGACGCATCACTCAAATCAAGAAATATTTTACACCAATCAACTATTTACTTTATGCAAAACCAGTACTGAAAGTATTGTCGAAGGGTTCATTTGCACTTTAATAAATAAATAGTTATTATAAATGAACTGAAATTGCAAGCTCCGACTAAGATGTTGCTGACTTGATTACCACTACTTAAATAAGGCTTAAACCAGAAACACTAGTATTTGATCTTGTTTGTTTTATACTAATAAATCAATACAAGCCTGTCACGGCTTGTTCACAGTCTAAAAGCAAGTGGTACCCATTTAGGAACCAGTTTCTTCCCCCCGCCCTTTTCATGCGAGACGCCACCAAATCGTGGGTTGGCAGATAAGGAGGTTCGCCTCCTGTTCCACCTTGATGACAAAGATGAAAATCTTCCCGACATCACTTGTTGATGTATAGGAGCAATAGATCCTTTCTGGTAAACATATCCAGACTTGGTTCTTCTTTGTCCTGATTGGTTGGGCAAAAGCAACTTTAAAGGATTTAGACTGACGTCAGCTGCTTTGGGACGCGAGCGCGCTTTTTCTGTGCCTAGTGGATGTTTTGGCGGGAAAACATCCGGTAGTTGCTTTGTTTGTCCGTGGTAATGCAGTCCATGCAAAGGAGCATTCATTGGATTATCTTGTTTTGCTGCTTCAAGGCTGATATGTCGGGATATCATTTTATGCGCGGAACGACCTACCTCTTTAGTAGGACATTCTTCATCGATGAATCTCATGGATTTTTCGAAAGACTGTTTTTTCAATGCCTCTAGTTCTAGCACTCTCTTTGCAAGCTTCTGTTGATCTCTTTCTTTAAAGTGTAACCAGGTTTTGAGCTGCCTGTCAATATCTTGGACGTACTTCACATGTATGTGTCCCAGGTACAGATTAGATGCGTATAGATTACCAACCGTCCATCGTGATCGAAGAATATACGCCTCGTAGTGAGCATCAGCACATGGTGAACGTAGTTTACGTTTGTGTAGAGTAGCGTCGGCAAGTTCTCTTTCCTTGTTGGATTCCTCTCTTGGTTCTTTCGACATTTTGATTCAGTAAAATGATCAGTTTTATCATCTATATATTTTCAGTTTTTGGTTCGTGTTTCAGCTAGAAGTTGTCCTAACGATGGTCGCAACTCTTATTTCTCTTTGTCTTCAATACTAGATCTCACAGCTTTTTGGCTTTTTTGCGTGCCTTCCAACAAAGCATCAGCTCCAACTATTTTTGGCTCTCGTCTGATCTTGAAAGCAGGCTGAGATAAATACTAAAATTAATTCTTTACACTTCCCGAAGGCTTTGACAGCGAGAGAACAAAAGAAGCAACTGTAACTGATTCCTTCCTTCCTTCCTGCTCTTGATACTTTGCGACAGTGTTTTCTGCAGTAAAGTGAGACGGAAGTTCTTGGCTTTCACTCGGTGTGCAAGCAATATTGACTCAAGGGATTAATTTTAAATAGCAAAAATCCTCGTACAATTCACTATCTACTAGTAAGCTAATACTCCGTGAAAGTAGACCATATGGGCGAACTGCTATTGGCTTCTTACCCGCGTTCATTTGCTTGCTAAGCGATCGTAGTAAGGACGATTTGTCAAAAGTTCAATGTCATTTTAATCCGGCTCACGGCATCATGCTATTAACCTTAAAGTAAGCTTACAAGAGCTTTGTAACTGAATTCCAGCTATTTGGAGACAGAGAAAATATTGTATCTTATTGTTCCAACACAGTCATTATCTCCAGGAAGCCTTAATAATGTATTGATATAGTTTTAAAATCTACAGCCTAAGATAAGAAAGGTTTTGGTAATTACGAAAAGAGTTTTTTCCACCTGATAGTGTTCAGTTTTTTTGGCTGAAAGTTTATTCAAGTTGTTTATCTCGCACTCCTAAAAAGCGTGTTATTGGCATACCTAAAATTCATGGATTACTTAAGATTCTGGTTGCATCTTAAGTCCTTATTAGGGCGATACTTTATGTTAAACCCGTAGGTAAACAGAAAATCTGTTTTATTGAATAGCAAAGTTTGTTTTTCGGAACTTGGCATACAACAAAAGAGGCACTTAGCAGTCGATTCACTTTGGTTTCCTAGAAAAATACATGAACTCAAGGAGGTGGTTAACTCAGGGACGCGACTTACTGGAGAAAAACACTGTTCTATAAAAATAAGTTTATGAGGTAATATCCACCATAAACGAATTTTCTTTTTGCTTGGATAGTCTTTACAACATTTTTGTTCCATATTGATGATATTGAACCTGATAATAACAATACTTTTCACAAGTTAGACATTAAAAAAATATTTTAACCAATACTTATATATTTTTCAACGAAAAGCACCAAAAAAGAACTTTCTTCTCGCTGTACTGAGTTGGCCATTTGGGGAATCTTTTTGATTGGTTTAGAAGGACCAATAACATCGCAGTCGGCGTTCAATTTACGCTTCTGATTGGACCCGACTATGTTGAAAATTTTACATCAACTAATCCGATTGGTTTAGACGGACCAATGACATCACACTGTTGTTAACCCTTCTGATTAGTTTCGACTATGTGGAACATTTTACATCAACTAATCTGATTGGTTTAGACGAACCAATGACATCACAGTCGTTAACCCTTCTGATTAGTTTCGACTATGTGGAACATTTTACATCAACTAATCTGAATGGTTTATACCAATGACATCACAGTCGTTAAATTAACCCTTCTGATTAGTTTCGACTATGTGGAACACTTTACATCAATGAATCTGATTGGTTCAAATCGGCGGTAATGCTCTTCCTTGTGGCATGAAGGTCTTTGGAACCCATTTTGTTTGTGTTGGAGAACGTGGTTCGTTTTCACTTGTATCTCTTCTCCGCTCAAGATCTATCTGCCTGTCGAGTTCTTCAGCGCTCGGTAATGAGCCYCTCCGTCGTTCAGGGTTAAACCCAACGGGAGCTGACAGCAGATTCTGTTTTACCTTTTGTTCTCCTGGCATTTTTGTAATGAATGCTGAATCATCATCGTCGTCTGATAAGTTCTCATTCGAGCTCGAGTTAGACTTGGGTTTGATGGCTGGGAGGATAACTTTGTTCTTCTTGCCACATGTAGAATCTAACCTCGAGAGATCTTCACATGATTTGGATAACGATATTGAATCATTCTGATTCACACTTAAACGTGACAAGTCACTAAGGTTTTGTGATGATTTCGATAATTGAGAAGATCGACTCAAAGACTGATCGAGAGGATTGAGAAAGGCCGACTTCGGTCGTTGTGGAGTCGGCCGATTTCGCATTTGGTTCGGCATTGCCGACGTAGAGTGCGGTCGGATCCGACCACCACGCTTGACCTTGGCATCCATATACTGTTTCATTTTTTCGTCCAAAATCTGGTCCTGTTTTTCCTGTAGTTTTTGCATTCTTTTAGCCATTTCTTTTTGTTCTTTTGTCATTGAAGTCAAGGCAACCATCTTCTGTCTATTCAGGTCTTTCACTTCTTTGGCGTGTTTCTGACTCCAGTAGATGTTGGATGCGTAAAGATTCTCTATCGCTGATCGTGACTGGAGTAAAAAAGACTCGTAGAATGCGTGTTCAATGGGAGATCTCTCGCGCTCTGTGACGTCTTCTTTGGAGAGTTTTTCCCGAGGGATGTGGAGGCCAGAATCGTGTTCATTTTGAGACATCTTGTACTCAGTGCGGCGCTGAAAGAATAAATAGGACATGAGACAAAACAAACGTGTCGCCAAGGTGTCATGGATAGACAAAAGGACTAACGTGAACGCATTCCATTGTAACTAAACAGGGCACATCTCTTGGAACTCTCTATTAATTAGTTTTAAAAACTACCATAAATATCATAAAGTACAAATTTCTTTCCTTTAAATGAATGGATAAATGGTTAAAAGAAATTGAAAAGAGCTTATGTAAGAGTATGAGAATTAAAGGCTAGGATTGCTATAAACTTAAGTCTATGGATTCGAGCGGCGTGTTTAACTTGACTCACATTTGCCTACTGCCAGCAATTTAAAGATTACAGCTTAATGAGCTGTGATAACTTGTATACAAGCCGATCAGAGGGACTGTAATCTGCACTGTTAACAAGAGATCCCATTGTCGCCCCGATATGCCCGACACTAAGCGAACCTCGTGCGACTTGCCATCCATACAGAGTTAGTTTTCTACTACGTATACAAATCCATGGGCTTTCCGTACTCAGCTTTCTATCTACTTGATATTGCACAGTTTGCCTTCTTTAATCATTCCTTTTCGTTTTTACCAACATAAGAGACTTCAGTCAAAAATATGCTAAAAGTGACAGGACTTACCAGTTGCAGCACGATTCTGTTTTACAATATGATTTCTTCTTGAAAAAAAAAACTTGCTTTTTTGACTAGAGCAATCACTGACGGCTTTTCTTGGTCTACCAGTTTCCTATAGCCGCGTGGAGTTTGGGACATTCGTAAACGTGATGCAACAGGAGAATAAAGTATGATAAACTACTCCCCGAGCAGGTATTATATCTGTGCACTCACTTTGAACAGTGGACTTGACAGCACAAGAGATGTTTACTTTTGTCTTTTGTTTTTATAATTTGTTGTAAATTAACACTCAAAGTCTTGCTGTCGGTGGAAGTCACACATACCAGACAAGCCAATAAGAACAGTAGGTACGTAGGTAAATCGAGTAGACTGTGAGTGTCACGGAAATACGGGAAAGTAATATCAAACAGTGCAGTGCCTGTACGTACTAAAGTGTTTAAGAGCTGATTTTTGTTCAACTGTAACGACACACGGCACGGTTACGGTTCCCTAGATGACGGCATACAACCGTTGAACCAATCAAAGCACWCAATGAATATAATTATTTTTAAAAATGAGTAACAGAGTTGCATTTGTTAATTGATGTGAACGACACACACACTAGGGACCACGGCCGCGGGCAACCGAGCGCAATCACAGCGCTCAATCAGAACACAACTCTACTGGAACTCTATACCGTCATGGTATCATCAGTCCATACCTCAGCATACTGTAGCTGATACATGGATTATGGAAAGATACGTATCATTTGTTTTCCAACCAGAATTTCGATCCGGTTTTACCGTCGCGTAAATGGTAAGATCCCTATGTGTCTTATGCATTTTTTTTTTTTTTTTTT